CTATCAAATTCAGTATATTGTTTGTCTTGTATTATGTTTCTTTTGTAGAGAGCTCTGTTATCCCATAAATTATTCGCTCCATTATGATGAAGATAATAGAGGGCACAAATTGAATGAACAACAACGAACTCTACTTTTAAGAAAGCAGGACGAAGTAGTAGGATGCCGATTATTTGAAGAAGATGCTACACCATGGCGAATCAATACTCTAGGGAAATTGTTGGGGAAGATGGCTATACATGCGTTGATTATCCCATCGTCATTGTTCATGCTTGGTAATGTCTTGATCATTGCTAAACTTTAATAAAAATAGATGTTTTATACTCAATTCAATTTTGTAGGGTATTAGAATATACTGTAATCTAGATTTTAAAATCAAAATAAAGTACTTTCCGAGAGTGAAATCGCTCTGTTTTAGTTGATAGTGATAGAATGATTCGATTTTTTAAAGAAGATTGACTTAATGTCATTCACCTAAAACTATAGACTAACTGTGTCATCCATTGCATCTAGAATTATGATAGTTATAGTGTACTGTAGTTAATAATATGCTTTTTGATGTATTACGATAGTGCTAAGATATTATCTATTGCATTCGTGAAATACTGTAGAATTGCAGAATATTGTTTATGCTAAATTAAGGGTTACTATAACATAATTTTGTTGCAATACATCCATAATGTTATAATATTGTATTCAGAGAAATGGAGCAAGTAGGTCAAGTCAAACGTAGCTGTTTATTATTTCATAACGCATCACAATTTAAGATAAATTATAAAATCATCACAGACCAGCCTCACGGCTTAAAATTATTGTTGTAAGATTGCACGAAAATAGTTTAAGTTGTACATTGGATCGGTATAATTGTACAAGTACGTGGTATCTATTTCTAGATATTACCTACAAGGATGATGATACTGTTGTTGAGAAGTAACTTTTTCATAGCAGCGGTAATATAATTTTGATTTAAAAACTTCTAAAGGAATGTATTGATAGAATAACTAATAATTTATTTATGGGATCTTAAGTATTTTTGAATATTTAACTTCATCATTTTCTAATATTATTTAGGTACTGATAAATAATGTTATTATGAATTGAGAATAATAACACTTTTCAAGATGAGGTTATTGAGTTAGATATAGATCTTGTTACCATGATATTGAGGTTTATGTCTAGAATTAAGTTATTCGTATGGTGCTATGCATTGAGGGTTCTCACGTCCTTAGGGGCTGAACTGTTAAGCTATCGGCACGTCCAATTTAACCTATTGCTATAATACTGAGATCATATCCTATTGCTATTTAATGGGTTGAGCATTGAGGATTATGATGTCTTTGAAATTTGAATACTTTCGACGTCTGTATCAAGCTTTAAGGAAATGACTAACATCAGCACTGGAAATAGTGATTTAAATTTGTATCATAGACTAGACAACCAGTTGCTTTGCTATGCTATAACCTAGTTGTCATGGATATCATAAGCTTCTCAATGTATAAGTAATCTTTTATACTATAAACTGCCTTAGTATCTGCAAATTTATTGAAATCAAGTAGATTACTGCTGTCTTATAAAGTTTGGATATAATGATTGATAGACTTCATGATCAATGCAAGGATATCTTTCGTGACATAAGCTATAGGCAAACCTTATGCCGCATGTTCTATCGCTTATACAGTTATCGTACAGTTTGCAAATAAATACTATACACAGAAATTTGTAACCATATCAGGATGTATTTAGCATCCGATAGCGTGGATGAATTAAAGTATTACGGCTGCTCCAAATGATGCCCCTGTACCTACAATAATTCCAACGGTGAAGAAATAATAGGCAATTGCTCCTGCCAATTCGCTGAGTTGAGGTGGAGCACGTCTAAAAACAATATTGTAGAATTACATTATAGTATTTATCAATTTGATAATGTATGGCCTTACGTGTAATAGCTGTAAAAATTTCGCATTTATAATCATTTAAATTTGTGGAAATGGTAAATAGAATGTGAATCTGAAATTCGAATGTACTGTAAACTACATACGGAACTTACTTTCCCACATACGTAGAACATAATATTACCAAATAACCACGAGAAAAACCACACAGCATAACCAATATCATATAAGCGATATCGCTGTAGATATTTACCGGCAGATGCTTTCGTGGATGGATATTGCAATAAAGGATGAGTGGGATAAGGATATTAAAAGCAACAGTTTCCCTGGATTTTACCTAGGTTAGATCCATGTGTATTCAGGTTATGAGATAATAGATTGGATAAATTTAAGTCCTATTACTAATTAAGAAATCGATAAAATCATTTATTACGGAAAAATTTACTTTTATAGACAAACTTAATTCTTATATACCATGTTAAAGTCATCTTAATGCTACTGTTGATTCAAACTTCACTGTAAAATATATTTGTAATGTAACTTAGTATTGTGATTGTAGACTGTTAGCCATGTTTAGTATAATGTACGGTAGATATTTATCCTAAGAGATATTTGGTAGCTATAACTATAGACTGTAGTGGTAGAGACTCTATGCTAGAGTACAGATGACTATATACAGTAAGCTGTTGAGTTACTAATAAGGCTATAGGTAAAAATAGAACTGTAAATCATATATTAGGATATGGTTAATTCATTGTACTTTGGCTGGTGTGAATAATGTCTACGTAAGCACTGTAGTCGTATCCATATTGGATTAATGATGGTCCGCAGTAGAATAGTCTTACTAAGAATAATTTAACTATGTGTAAAATAAGGTAAAAGGTTGCTATGCGGATTGTAGCTGCGAATGCTACGGAAAGTATAAAAGCATACAACTTTAGATTATTCTGTTAGTTCGTTCTAGAAGTCTTTAATAGTAGTATTCGGCTAGAGTAGAGCTGTGTGTAGTTAATCTTTGTATAAGATTCAATAAAGCCCTTATTTTCTAAAATTTGGAATTTCGTGATGGATATATATCACAATATTTTAATAAGGTAGAAGAATATTATACTTTAAAATGGCAAAAATAACCTATTTGCTATATTTTATAAAACGTATAATATCAGTTTCGATGCAATGTTGTTAGACTCATTCTTAAAGGATAGTCTATCATGCTTTATTAATCTTAGGTGATTCCTAAACTTAAAAATAGTATCCATCTGGAGAGAAATCGACCAACAATATCGGATGTGGCATCTATTAGAAAGCATACTGCAGGTATAAATAGATGACTTGGTATAACATAGTGGAAAAATATTATTACATCAACAACGTATGAGCTAGATGGACATCTGTAATATCATTTCTATTAGTAGTGCAATATAATATTCTATTTACAGTAAAATAAGAATCAGTTTTATAATAATTATAAGGTATCAGAAGTTAGGGATTTAAGTGATATTTCTGAGTATGAAGCTATCAATAGCGGAAAATCAATTATGTAATTTAGCCGTAAAATAATGCCCCTAAAATAGAGGATTATAAAGGTAATTAAATATATAGGTGCTCAAATAAAATGCTCTATAATCCTGCTGCCTGTGGCGCTATGGTAATGTCTTTAAATGCATTTAGAAGCGAGAAACTGATTTTAGAGATGGAAATTTTTCCTCACATTTCGTGTAAGACCATAGTATACTTTTGTATTACTTTTTGTATAGGCAGTATATACAATTAGAGATGTAGTGATATTTGCCTCCAGTAAGATCATTCACGATAGCGAATTATAAAAATCGCATAGATATAATTAAGAACGGTAGATTCGCGTAATTTATTAAATGTATCAATGACTTTGGACTGGATTATGTCCAATTAAGACAGTATTACAAACTATATCATTACGGTATACACCATCAGAAATTTAATGAAACATTTTTAATATCACACGTAAACTAGGTTAATCAACAGTGTCGAAAGCCAAGGTGGCAAGCTATTTATAGTTGAATTTGAAGCGTACTTAGATTATACTGCAACTCTAGCATATTTCTTAAATCCAGGCATTTAATATTGTCCTTTTATATAGAGATGTAAACTGATAGTACTAAATAGTCACGGGAAACGTGTTCTAGAATAACGCCCCGATGATTTATAGCAAGATTCAATAAAGAAATAATTTAGCCTAACGCAATCAATCCTCTGTCGTTCCCCTAGGGATATAGACGATCAAAGATTTCTAAGATTGTAAGTCGACTACATCACATCAATCCACTTTTATAGATCGAATACCATTCTTACGCGTTGAAAATGGACCTTTTCCAAGGATATTAGACCTATACTTCACAAATTCAATTTATATTGCTATTCGTAAAATGTTTGTGAGCACAGGCGCCGATCTGTAACTAGATAATTTCAGCTTGCAAGAGAAACGATTATCTCACCATAGTAACTTTGTGATCAACAATCTATAACGTCTTGTAAAGCAATTTCCCCAGTAACTGATGTAAAGCCAGTAACCTAACTATTTCTACTCATCTAAATTTGCCCTAAAACTGGCTGATACAAATTTGTGCTTACAGCTGCAGATGCTACGAAAAGTATATAAGCTGGCAATTTTAGATGATTTAATCAATCGCCTAAAGTTCTTCTAGTAGTTGCATTCGGCTAGATTAAGGGCTTGCATAGAACTATAGTAAACATACTCAGATAAATTTTACTATATCAATTTTGTGATAAGGAAATTAGCTAGTTAATAAATGAAGAGAAGAAAAATAATATGTATAGTAAGTAGTAAACAAGACAGCATAACTAATAGTATAGGATAAAAAGTTCACTCAAGCAAAAGTGAGACTCTAACCTGAAGAAAACAGGAATTTTATCTGCATTGAGGATTATTGTACCTTTCAAGATGAAGTTATTGAGCTATCTACAGATCTCGTTACGATGATATTGAGGTTCATGTCTCGAATCCACTTCATTCATAACGTGCTATATATTGAGGCTTCTCACGCCCTTGAAGGCTTAATCATCAAGCTATCTGTAAATTTATTTTAACCTATAGTTATGATACTGAGATTATGATCTATTGCTGCTTAATGGGGTAGGCATTGAGGATTTGTTGTCATTGAAATTGCATACTTCAGATGCCTGTGTCAAGATATTCGAAGGAAAGGCTGGCATCAGTACAGGAAGTAGAGATTTATAATTGTAAGATAATCTTGATAACCAGTTATTATTCGATACTATAACTTTGTCGTCATAGATATCATCAATCCCTCAATAAGTAATCAATCATATATTTATAAACTGCGTTAATATTTGCAAATTTATTGAAATCAAAGTATATTACTTCTCTCATATAAAGTTCAGATATAATTATTGATAGATTTTATGATAAATGCAAGGAAATCTTTCATGGCATAATCTGTAATCATATCTTATGCCTTGTTTTCTATCATTCATATGGTAAATGTTCAGTTTTCAAATAAATACGAAATACAAAAATTTTCAACAGATCAAATATAGTATCTTTAGCATCCTATAATGTCGATAAACTAAAGTATTGAAACTGCTACAAATGATGCCGCTGTACCTGCGGCAATCCCAACAGTAACGAAATAATAGATAATTGCTCCTGCCGATTCGCTAAATTGAGGTGGAACTCGCCTAAAAATAATATTGTAGAATTACATGATAGGATTAAGTAATTCGATAAGGTATGATCTTATGTGCAATATCTTTAAAATTTTCTCATTTATAATCAATAAATTTGGTGAAATGACGAATAGCTATAAATGCAAAGTTGAACCTACTTTAAGCTAAATATGGAACTTACTTTCCCGCATACATAGTACATAACGTAGTTATATACCCATGAGAAAAGCCACACAGCATAATCAATACCATATAAGCGATATCGCTGTAGATCTTTACTGGCAGATGCTTTCGTGGATGGATATTACAATAAAGGAAGAGTGGGATAAAGATAACTCTGCATAAGGATATTAAAAGCAACAATATCCCTTGATTTTGCCTAGGCTAGATCCATTTACATTCAGGTTATGAAATAGAAATTAAAAACAATCAAGTTCTTTTACTGATTAATTAAGAAATTGATAAAATCATTTTTTGTGGCCATTTAATTTTATATACAAACTTAATTCTAATATATCGTGCTAAAGTTTGATCAATGGTACTAATCATGGCAGCTTTATCGTAAAATATATTTTAATAAATGAAGGAGCAAATTGGCTACTTAGCTAATATTAGCTATTGTACACTTATAAAGGTTCATTCTATTATATGGCATAAATGTGGAAGAATTGTTTAAAGACGTGAACTGCAATGAAAAATCTGGCCTGATCTAGTTTGCTATACGATTAGTAATGAACGTTATAATTCTAATTTTAGTTTGTAAATAATTTATCAGCTCATTGCAAATGTATCATTTCATCCTCATCAGTGCATATTGATGTATTAATAATAAGTTGTTTTAACTAATGAAATCACCATTAATTAATCAATTAAGTACATCATCTACAATTGTAACTGTTGCTTTGAAGAAGATGCGCGTTTGATAAAAAATATTATAGCATAAATTTGCAGAAAATTACTTGTTTGCTACAATTTAGATTATGTATATAAGCAGTTTTAATTCAATGTTATTAGACTCATTTTTTAAAGGATAATCTTTCATGCCTTATCAATAATGTCATAAATGCATTCCTTAACTTACAAATAGTATCCATCTGGAGAGAATTCGACCAACAATATCGGCAGTAGCATCCATTAGAAAGCATGTTACAGGTATAAATAGAGGACCTGGTATAATGTAATAAAAAAATAAAATTACTTCAACAGTATACGAGTTAGATTGACACCTATAATATTGTATCTAACAGACGTGCAATATAATTTTTTATTTACATTAAAATAAAAATCCCTTTTATAATATTCATAACGTATCGGGGTTAGAGATTTCAGTGGCATTTCTGTTTGAGTATGGATAGTTATCAAAAGCGGAAACTAAGATGCTTGATTTAGCCATAAGATAATGTCGTTAATACAGAGGATTACCGGTATTAAATGCTTCATGAGCCTGTCGCTTGCAATTTACAGTAGTATTTTAAGTGTTTTTTTAAAGCGATTAAGTGTTTTTAGAGTTGGAAATTCTTCCTTGCGTTTTCTGTAAGACTATGGAATGCTTTGGTATTGCTCTTTGTATAAACAGCACGTACGATCAGAGATATCGTAACATTTACTTTCATTAAGACTTCTCTGAGTGCTTATGTTATGATAGAGACAGAAATATAAACGAAAAATCAACTGCTAATAACATAACATTGCATAGACACAATTGAGAGCGGTAGATTTGCGTAATCTCTGGAATATATTAATGACTATTGAACAGCTTAATGTCCAATTAAAACTGGATCACAAGCTATATCATTACAGCATATACCATCTTAGAGTAGCGCAATCTTCGAGGCACTGATTTATTACACTGTGCATGCAAAAACAATACGGCAGCGTATTTACTACTTTAGTATAGCATTCAGAGGTTTTCATGGAATAAGTTTTTAATATCAAGACCGTGGCAGTTCTAAATGTGACGATGACGTTCAATACTAACAGTTACACACATTAACGTAATGCTTTATTGGTATATCCTTTCTGCTTTGATTCTATAGCCATCCTATGCAAAACTCTCTTTTCTTTTATAGTATAAAGGAAAGGATACCATCCTTAAAGAGGATGGGATTAATGGTATCAAAAGCCATGGTGGCAGCTTGTTTATAATTTAATTCTCTTACTAGTAACTCAACTATATCGTTTCTATGAAGATACCAAAGTCCAAGATTGATATCATGCCCGATACCTTAGTCTTATTACTGAATCATTATTATTACAGTAATAAACATAGATACCTGTTAATAAGGTGTTACTTTTTCGATAAATAGAAATACCACGAGTTACGACGCTTGGAAATACACAAAAGGAAATCACATTACACCAGAATGCGGCTAATGCAATGGGCCATATCTAGAAAGAAATAAAGGTATAGATTATATTGGTAAAATATTCTTCTTCCATTATAAGCCGCTGCAATATCTAAAGTTGTCGGTTTATTATGCTAGCATACTGGATTACCTTCATGAAAACATAATGTAGACGCTTCAATTTATTATTTCCGTATGGAACATACATATCTTCGTCATCAGTATCACTGAGTTGTGCTTCATCATCTTCCAGCAATTTCTTTTTCTGCTGCACATCTATCATGAATCCATTTAATAATTGTACTATATAACTATCCACTCATTATAATGATCATCAATCGAAATTTTTACTCCTATTAAAATTAATTGATGAGATCCTGACCGTATTCTAGATGCGCTTTCATATAATATCTTGCGAAGACCTAAGATGAAAATTAAGCTTAAATCACTTATGACATTTAATTTACGACTCTATAGACTTTATAATTGAGCTTTGTTCTCGTAACAAAACTACATGTTGCTATCTAAAACTTATGACTAGATAGTACATTCAAAACTGACATTTTTCTCCAGTACTAGTTGAATAATCATGGCTATCACCAGTATTGCAGTTCCACTAATAAAGTAGCCCACTCCGCTGCGCCTGGCAGAATGCGTAACTAAAGGAATGATTAGAAAGCAGTTTGTATTAGAATAGATGCAGAAAACTTTTGACTACTATTAAGTGATATTAGTCTGCAACGATGAAAATATTTTTCCTCATTGACAGTAATTACTTCTATCATACCGACTAAAGACATGATATTGGCTAGCGCAGTAAAGATGCCGGATAGAGCCTACAAGAAAGTTTCAAGCAATGTATTCTATTATTAATACGCTGCCGCAAACTAAAGGGAATAAATGAGCACCAATCTGTGATTAAAGCTTTATTCTAATTTAATGTAGTAAATTTTAAATGTTCATTAATTACAAAATTATTTCCATAATAGTATTAAAGCGTCTTAAATCTCTTACATTCCCAATAATTAGGGCTTGCGAATATTCTTTAGGAAAAATGCTAACCAATCCGAAAAGGCTTGCACAATAAATTGTACCCCCAAATGCTTTATGGTTTCATTTGCAGGAAAAGAGCATAGAGCGAGAATAGAACAGCAAATGTTGGTTAAGAAGGAATCTACATTTAAAGCCTAATATAGATGCATATTAATCCTCCCAATCACGAGCTTAAGACCTTGCAGTTATTAGCTTTTATTATTAATGTACAAGATAAACTACTTCTTATGACGTATCGATGATGGCTAAAATTGAAGAAAACGAAATATTTATTCGGCACTTTCAAACAAAATAATATGAAGAAGAGCATTAGGCCATAATCTCACTGAATTATCACTTACATGTAAGACTATCACGATTTTTCTAAACTGCTTAGTGCTGCAGGTAGAACATGGTACTATTAGCTGGATTAAAATCAGCAGATATTACGTATTAAACCGTCGTGTCCTAAAGGATGCTATCGCATTTAGTTTTGATAGGCAGTTAACAGCCTCACACTGATTAAGCTACTGTAAGGCAAGAGTAGTCTAAAATAGTTGATCTTATAGGCACATATGATTACCTATAGAATTAACTAGTGGATGAGAGTAAGAAGTCAAATGGTACCATTCAAAACTGTAATCTTGTTCTAATCTTAGTTTAAAGTGAAATCGTGAATATGTACGGTTTTATCTTGTAAGCTATATTAATACATTCAGGAAGTAATATATATATAAACTATATTGATATCGCGTATAAAGTAACAAGATTAAGGTATTAGAACTTTAATCTTTTAGCATTTTAAGGATTATCGCTCATATTCGATGAGCTATTGCAACATATTGATTTTAGTTACCTCTTATTTATTGATTTAGAAAATCATGGTTATAAAGCTACGAATCTATTTGGTTTAATGAAACCATATCTATTCATTATGGTAATTTGTCGATGCTACTCAATTATTCATTTCCTACTTACTGCTGCTCAGGACGATGATCGTTAGAGTTAGAACGAAAAAGGTATATTTCCCTGTAATACAAGTAGAAAAAGAATAAATTGATCTATAGTTTATACGGCATTTATCCCTTGAGTAATTTTTACCAAAGTTATTTTATGCCAGCATTTTAGAAATTGCATGCAATTATCAAATTAAAGCAGTGATTCGAGCTGAAAAATTATAACGATTACTGACTGCATCGATTATAGAATTATTAACATGAGTATTATCCAAATTTTAGCCATCTGGTTTAAAATGCATTTGAGAGAGGATACCTTAGGTTAGAAATAACGATTTTAAAGTCTTACGACGTAAATTAATTAATTCGCAAGTTATAGTGTAGGAAAAGGTTATAATCAAAGTCTACCTATTCCAATGAAATGGTTTAAATTACTGTCCTAATTATTAAAGTAATTTATAACAAGGGTAAGATAATCCTAATCAACCATACGATAATTTTATTAGTACAGTCCTAAGCTGATCGCCGCATACTAGACATTACAATTACATCACAACTTGCGTTATCAAAAATCATTTAAAAATGAGCTAAACCATCTCTAAACAATAGATAAACTAATTAATATACCTGTTATGCAGCAAATTTTGCATAGATATCGTAACATGGTTTCCTTAAGATTACTAATCTAGAAATGTGCTAGTATTACTTTATCTACGACGCTTTATATATTTTCAATAGATACGAGCGTAATTTTTATAATTTTATTTATGGACCGATAACTAATGTTTGCATGGAATTACTTTGAATTGACTGATTTATAAATAAAGTTTGCGTTCAACTTTGCTGACAGTTAGAATTGAAGTGAAATCCCCAATTAGTATTTGAATGTCTAATACCCTTTACCGCGACTATCTATCGAAAATCATACACCACAATACATAATCGGGCGCACTCAGTAATTCGAGAGTTCTTTCACTGATAGTGGTAACAATACCGTTGGATTGGATTGTAAACTGTGAGAATTTTGCTTAACTACACTTACAGTTGGATGTGTTCAATTTGGCCAGGACAGTCGTAGCTATAAAAGAGACTATGAGAACTGATAGAGAGAATATAATACGCTTTCTTACATCAATTCTAGAGCAAGAATAAAATATATATATTATATGCGCCTTAGCTGTTGATCATTTGCTGATAGGATAGATTTAAAGCTATGATTATCAAAATCGATAGCGATTAATTTCAAAGCCCGCTTACCTTCGAAGCAGCATAATATTCACTGCGCCAACAATTATAGTAGGTAAGCTATAAGCTAACATCATATAATTCTCGATAACATGCTGATATGGTGTTCCTTCCAACTGAGCTGAAAAGTACTGCGTCAGCAGATGTTCACATAAATTAATTGAAGAAGTAAATCACATTAATCAGCACTATTTCCGACTGCTGAGCAAATCCATTGAAAAATGATAATGAATATTCCCTTACCGTTGATGCAGTATAAAATATGTGCATTGGCAAGGTAGTAGTAATCCCAAGAATAAGTAATAAGAAATAAACTATGTAGTACCTGAAATAAAAATAAAATTGAATTAGTAACTAAATTGTAAATCGATTGAAAATACTCCTATTATGTAAAACGATCAAAATTCTTAGTTAAGATTATCCTTATCCAAGTATCGAGTTTTCCATGAGTTTCAAAAGAAAATCATTTTTGAATGCCGTTTATGATTGGAGTATAGATATTACTCACTGGAGATGGAGTTAATGATTTTAATTTTGTTGGCTAATTCATTAGAATCAGATATGCTTAACAAATATGGTATGAGAATTAAGATTGATAGATAATAATGGAAATAATGAAATAATATGAATTATTCATGAGATGATGGTAGTGTATAGCGATATCTGAATAAGTATTAACTATAATTGGCTACTAAGTTATTCTAAGGAATAATATTAGATAGCAGTTCCAATAGTATTAGTACCTATGCGATTTTGTTCGAATTTTATGAAGTTAGGCACCTGCTGTGTTGAGAAATGTGGATTTGGAAATGAATTAAACAGCGTAGTTTATAAAGTAAAACGAGATGATTTGATTTAGAGAGGAACTCGAATCCAGCTTATCGATACATTAAGACAGTGGTGTATCACCTGTTTTACTGATTGTGTTTTATTTAGATCTCCATATAGATCATTTAATGTATGTAATAATCAAAAATTTTTGCTCTATATCCATGAGCATGTGAACTGGTTCTATTACACTTGAAGAAAAACGACAGAGGGTCTAATAGTAGTGATCACCACTATCTTGATCTGAATAATAACTAGCTGCGATAGTTGATCTTTGATTGATGTACTTGAAAACACTAAATTGATCTCCAATCTCAGTAAATAAAGCTTCTACAGGTGAAATAGGCATATACGGTAAGAAAACTATGGCGTAAGATTAAACTTTTCTATTATTTTACGGTATAAAAACGAATCGTTTTTATGTTATATACTGGCCAGAAATGCCTACAGTATAAACCCTCAAATTAATTCAAGCCATTTGGATAATACAAACACTAATAGAAATTATTAAAATATCATAAAATAACGAGCGGACAACGGAAAAACGGAAAAATTCGATGATCAATAGTAAGATACCGGCACCAGCCTGCAGGAGATCATTAACGTCAAAGATGCTACTCGCATATTTAGTCGTTAGAATAGTCCAGTAGTTTTAGTAGATAATTTAGTAGCGATAACTATAGCTTCGAGAGGGAGTTCAGTCTGAGATCTAGCTGTCCCTAGTTTAGGTAATCTAAGTTTGCTACTGTAATATTCACCCAAAAAATTAATACATACTGTACTGTAGACGATTACATCCTTTACATTTGGGAGATAAATTATTGACTATTTCAGTGTTAGAATAGAAATAGTATGTTATTAAAATCATAAGAAGAGAATTTCTATTCCGTGACGGTAATACTAAATAGTTAGAACAAGCTGCGGTTTGTCTGCTTTTCCATTTTCGTACTAGCATACCCCTAGTCTGTAATCAATCAGATGACTTTAGGATATGCTACAATGGATATTTATCACAAACAGTTCTATGACTGGAAATGGATTATTCCATTCTTAGAATTGGATATAACAGACACAGAATAGCAACTGTTATATCAAAGGTAAAGAATAAATTGAACGTTATCTGCGAATTATTTAATCGGTTATTGGACTCTATTTCCTAACAGTCATTAGAAGAATTAACCGGTCTATCAAGAAATAACAAAGCGTTGCTCAAGGCTAGGATTGAACTCAATCTTATCCGCTGCCAAAGATGAAGAAGTTAGACATATTTTATCTAAATAAAGCCAACATTATTTTTGTATTATCATCATCGCTAGTTCTACCTGTCAGGTGGTTTAGTTTCCATAATTTCTGAAGCTTTGGTACAACGATTGGCAGTTCTACTTCTTAACTAGATTAGATTTTGCTAAGTCAGTTGGATATTATACTTTGATCCAAAAACGGTGCTAATAATCAATCGCTAGTTCAATAGGCTATCATTCAAGTTGACACAGATTAGCAGGCAAAGGTTCGGAATAGGAATTTTCCAGTTGGAAAATCTCTATTAAGCTGTCATCCTTAATGATTTCATGCTGTCATGATCTTCGATCATCAAATCTTTGAAATCAACTGTCGTAAACTCGATATAAAAGCATCATTACCATGCTAAGCACTTCACTAATGATTTTTTATTGAGTTTACTCCGAATGAATAATACTACTTGCCGTAATCGGCTGTCACTTCATTATTATACAGATCTTAAGAAATTATACTTAAGGGAAATGACGCAGATTATTTGGAATATATAGACTATGGAGATGGAATACTCTAGGGAAATTGGTTCTCAAAACGCTGTAGATTTATAGATGACCACAGCTTTACTATAATACGTAAGACGATCATTTCTCTTGTAAACTGGAAATCATCTCATCCCCGATCGACGTCTTTGCTCACAAACATTTTATATACAGCAATTCAATTTAAATTTGTGTAATATCGATTCAATATACTTGAAAAAAATCCATCTTCAACGTTTGAGAATGATGTTTGATGTATAAATTGGATTGGCTTGACATAGTTTACTTAGAATCTTATCAATTTTTGTGTGTCCGTGTGACCATGTCCCTAGGGGAATGATAGAGGACTGATTAGGCTTAACTACCCTATTTCTTCATAGAATAATATAGATTACTATTTTAGTTTAACAATTGTTTTTACTATTTATAAATTACTGCAGCCTGCGATGCTTTTGCCACTGACATGAAAACCGATATAAGTCAATAACATAGCTATCTTCATCCATCTAAATTTGCACTAAAACTGGTTATTATTCTCTTGCATTTTGAATGCAGGTGCTACGAAAAGTATGTAAGCAGGCAACTTTAGATGATTCAATCATTCTTCTAAAGTCCTTTTAGTAGTTACATTTTGCTAAATTACAGGTTTGTCTAGAACATCTTTAAATAACAATGCAATGATATTGTAATAATTGGTCAATTTGAGAATTTTGAGATCTATTTTTTCCCATTCTGGAATTTAATCATCTCGCTTGATAATTATCTAATATCGCCATGTTAGATTAATAATGAGGTATTGTCACGGATCACTTCCTGATAAGTTTACTAGTCTAACGTAAAGCATTTGCTTTGAGTTACTTCTACAAATTACTACACTGATCTGCCGAAAGATCTAGTAAGAATATAGTACTGATACTTTAACACCTAAGAACTACCATTTTAAAAGGCTCGCTGTACTATAATCCACAAAAGAGCTTTATTCAGTAACTCGCGACTCGCTGTTCTCGCTCAAAAATCAACTGATTTAAACCAATAAATACACTCATAAATAACTGTTTATCTTAGCAATAAAATACCAGATACACCTGAATAATGTAATTAGATAAAAAGATAAACTTATTTATAAAGAATAATTTTATCTAAATTACGTACGTAATCACAAGCCTTATTGGCTAATAGCTGTATCATATTACAAATAACGTTCATAGCTTTCCTTTTTTATTAAAAATAAGAGTAATATAGATTTACTATTGGATATTAATTCCTACTCTTGTAAGTGCTATAAATCCTAGCATTTCCTATACTGTAACACTAAAACATTGTCAGTAACAATACTTTCTTAAACTCTATAATTTAGGAAACGTAGTGACGTAATAAGTATCAAACGAATACTATTAAACTAGATATGGCTAGCGTCCTACAGCATAGCACATATGTCTCTAATGGTAAATGTCGTATCTAATTCTAAAATCCTGTTCTCTACATGTGTTTTATCTCAAAGGCTAGAAATAATGATGATTTCTATCTCAGATTTGTGACTTTCGGTTGTGAGTATTAGTATCCACGCACGTTACTTCACAACATGTAACTGTTACTATCTACAATAGTGTATTAATTTCCTAACAGAATCCCTCGTTTAATTTTGTAAATGGCTGCTAAGTCCACGTCCGCTGACTCTTCGAACCTCCATCACTTTTGCTATCATATATAAGCTACATTTGGATATCCAACTATAGAGATTAAATTTAAAATCAACTAATGTCCCCGATTAATGAAATATTTATTTCCGATTGATGCTTCGTGTAGTGGTATGAAAATATTAGCAGTGGATGAATTAGTCGATATATTGATGTGATTGAGCTTTCAAACTCATAACTGAAGAAGAGCAAATGTATAGAAGCCTTCAGTTCTTGTCATAAGATACTGATTATGCCCCATTTTACAAATATCTATATCCTAAGGAAGGGCAATTATAGAACTACTGCTAGATTTTCCATCCTGAAGTTCGCATTTCATATATAGCTTTCGAAGGCAAAGCATGCAGACAATGCCTTTCATAATAACTTTTGATTTTGATTTTAATAAGCATTAAACATATGCGCATATCCTGTTAAGCTAAACTTTAAAATAAAAATTGGGTAAAGAATAGTAAAATCAAGCTTTGAAATTTTGATTAAGGTAATCCCAGATACTGCAGGAATGTTATGTACAGAGAAGCTTGTTAAGAATATCTTTAAACCACGACTTAATGCGGTGTGTATGAAATTTTAACTTTCAACCAATTTGGGAATTTTAAGATCAAATTTGACCTTAATTGTAATTTTATTGTCTTGCTTGCTGATTCTCTAAAACATCCAATTAGATTAATCTTAAATAAGGACGTTATTCAACTAGACATGGCTAGCATACCTTCACATGAGGGAACTTTAACTGAAACAAGCCATTTTTAAAACTAAAGTTGGAATACCAGGATTAAGAAATTAAAGATTAGGTTATGCATTATCATAACAGTTATTAACTTCATAAGGCACGGTTTACTACAGCATTTGATTGAGTATGATTTCCCTCTTGCTATTAAGGCTTATGATTACTTTTGGAACAATCTCGTCATCATATTTGTGTATTCCAATCTCTGAAGTAACTTAGCCTTTAAACTAGCGATAGCTAGGAGCTGTGGCTAAAATAAATAACGAAACGCTATGATTTAATTTATACATGAATGCGCCGATCAATGATGCTTACATAGATGACTAGTCTTTAGTAGAAATGCTGATATTCTGAGCAGAGCTATATAACACTGAAAACCATATCTGGAAAATAGGTTGAACTAGGTATTTACTAAGCAGCAACATGACAGGTCATGCCATAGCAGCAATGGAGTCCTGTTGTGATGCTTTCCATAATTGATTATATTAAAGGCAATATTTGATAGAGATAGGTTTCTAAGAATAGATATTACTGTGATGCTAATGTTAGATGTTTGCAAACTACATATTAGAATTGATGATTACAAATATTAGCTAGCTGAAACGATGCAATACCACAAGATTTGTGTGACCTTATATACTGCATAAGTGAAGATGCTCAACACCGAAAGGTGTGGTACATTAAGAAAAGACTAGTAATATTTTAAGTAGAATGATTTGAATTGAAGAAGATAGTGATGGTCTATTTAAGGTGAAATATTCTATTTGATGACATAAGTCTGATTTTAGCTTATGATTCGTAAATGGAATTAACCAAATGTATTTAAGAGATGCAAAGATCAGTTTAGATAGGACTTGACTTCACTATGAACTCGGAAAACTTTACAGTAGATTATTACTTTACTATTCTAAAATTTTGTAAGCCTTTTCTTAGATTCCCTTTTGACTAAGAGAATGATATTGTGGGATACTTTTACTACAAGTTCACACGAAAGGGGAATTCTGGTTATAGCCGCTAATAGGCCTTTTCAACGAAAATAATAAATGTGAAGAAGCCCTCAGTTCTCGGTGCAGGATGCTGGTTATCTCCTTGTTACAATTAAGCCTTTGTAAACTGGTCTTAAACACTAACGCCATTAGTACTCTTGTCCCCAACTGACTTAGGAGACTTATCGCAGCTGATCTAACTCTCAGCTACACAAATAATTACTAACGGGTAATAGAATTGACAAACGTAAACGGGCTAGTAATAAATATATTTATTAACCTAAACCTATCGATTGACTCGATTACTATAGTATAGGAATAAGTTAGTTTCCCTTACTAAGGATCTCCGGAGTTAGTCGGAGAATCATAAGAGTAGATAGACTAGTTTAGGTACGATCACGAAAGCTGTTTTGTGACAGCATCCTATACAGAATACACTTTTGAACGCTTTTATTTAAGGAATTGACATAAAGTAAAACGTAAATTAAACATACATCATCGGAATATGACGTTAAAGTACAAGATATACTGTACATTAGAGATATTTGAGCTAAATGGCAATACACTGAGGAAAATTTTATAGATTCAATCATATTTCGTATAATATGTAAGGATGGATATTGTTATAATTACTGTAGCAAAAGTATCATATAAAATAATTTAAATCCCAAGAATTGAGATAGAAATGATTAGCAAGTTTTATGCCAGATAAATATACAGTATATTTTTTAGATATAATATTGGATATGGCTTAATTATTTCGCATTATATTATTTTAAAATAGCAAATACTGTCATAATGATATGTAATTTAAATTTACTACTCGATACCGATGCAATAATAATCAAGATTTAGCTCTGCATTGAAATTCATCAGCTATCTCATTTATCAGCAATCGTTTTCGTATTTGTATATAAATAAGGTGTTTAATAAACTTTCTCCATGACAAGGCTTATCCAGTATGGCAAATTTGATTATATTTAGAGGCTAGACTATTATAGCTAGAACAAATGAAAACGCTGTACCTACATTGACTCCAGTAGCAAGGAAGAAATAGGTCATTGCTCCTGCCGATTCGCTAAGTCGCGCTTGAACCCGTCTAAGGATCATAGATTGAAATACAGTTTAGCTTTAATAGCTTCATGAGATGTTTTGCGATAGCAGAAAATTTTTTCTGCTAGTGTCGATGGATATTGTCATTAATATCCAAAGTTGTATCAGTTATGGTTATCTGCTTAAATATTATTCATACGAAGATCAAGCATCAACTAACTCACTGTTTGCAAAATTTTTACCTGCAAAAACAAAATATCATTTATAATCACTATTGTTAAATGAGGTTTATGATCTATATTTATTTTAGATCGACCTAATTACCAGTACTTTTCAAAAGCAAATAAGCTTACATCTTATATTGTATACTTGACTAGCTAATTTATCTGAGTAAAGCGTGATATTTTGTATGATAGCTCTTTTGAAATAACTTTAGGTTGCATCGGATCTATATTGACTTGACTAGCAATACATTTTCATCTACACAACTGATCATTCAGATTTTAGTTTTAGGTGTTACGTTACAAAATAGCTGCAGTGATTGCAAATAATACAGTAGTTATGTGTTTTTAAATTATGATAGAATAGCAATACGAAGTGAAGTACTACTTAGATATGCCATTAAAAAGTCGTTTGTACTTAATTTAATAAATTAATTGTAAATTATAGCCAATCTACTACACTA